ATGAGCCGCGACAATATTCTGTCAAACCGTTGCTCGAGTGCCGGCGCCTCAAGTGGGTGTCCCTCGAGAGCGCCCCTGACTTCGAGTTCATTGATGTGGATCAGCTGAGAGCACTGGTACCCCGGGTCATCATTACGAACGGCACGGCATGGCGTTAGGTGCCCAGAGAGTGGTCAAACAGTAGGTCAGCGTTTATACCCATTTCTTATTAATGAATGATTACTCTCGTGTCTCGTGATCATCACCCAAAGGGATCCACTGCTTAATACCTATACTACTAATGAATAATTCTTTGGTTTAAAACATTTTGTTTCTATTTCTGATATATTCTTAATGTTCTGTTAAATAAGAGTATCACTAAAATTATGCATTCAATTATAATCTCAATGAATACTGATTACCTTGTTTAGTATTTAGCGTAAGATTTCAATTGAATTGTATTTTTCTAAAACATTACGAAAAATGTGATAATACATGAATTACTATAATAATTATTATTCCAGTCATTGAGCGATTATTAATTAAAAATTACTAATGAATATTGAACACAAATTTGTAATTATGTTTATGCTAATTGCAATTAATAAAGTTTATTCAATAAATCCTATGTTAACATGATTATTGAGCACTCGCTTATCATAGATAACAAAATTTTCATTTCATTCACTTGAACTCACATTTCTATTCACTTTCATTAGTTTTTAACATTCAGCCAATCATTTGAACTAAAAGTTAGACTTAAATCCAGCACTTCTTTGTGTTTCGCTATATCTTGTGATCCCATACTACGAGTTCATCCACGCATTGATTGTCACCGGAAATGCCTCCAAGAAAGCGAAGAGACACTAAAAGTGCGTTCGGACTCTTCGTAACCAAAATGAAAATGATTGACAAGTCTTTGTGTCAGAAGAGGATTGCAGTTGTCATGGAAGAGGTGAACCCCATGTACTTGAGTTTGGATCCTGAGGTCAAACAGAAGTTCAACCATTTAAGCGCTTATTCCCAACAGAATGGGCTCAGAGCTCAAGAAATTAAGGAACTGTTAAAGGATATCGACATCACTGGTGACACACCGGATGACGAGTTGGACGGCGAATTGGATGACCAGGATTATGATGATAGTGTGGATCAACTGCCACTTATCACCAATGCTATCACCGCGAGTGGTCACATAGGTCCCAACCATCGGTGTTCAGCCATCAAACCCGTCCGACCCTATGATCCGGACATTGACTTCGATGCCATCAAACAGATGCTCCAGAAGTTGTCGCCCACAGACTTGAAGCGCAAGACAATCATATGCATCACATTTAACGTCGCGGTCGCCGACTTCGAGGGCAACTATTATCCTAATGAAGTCGGTTTGACTCAATTCACTCTGGAGTCGGGCGTCCAGAAGTCATACCACCGATTCATTCGCAATACCTTTCCTTCCGGTTATTACGCGATGGCCAAAGAGTTGAGCGAAAATGTGCACAAAATACCATTTCTTCCCAAAGACACGAATCAGTTTAGTGATGATTATCAGCAAATTATGCGCGAAATGCAGGCATTGATGTCCGCCTCCACTATCTTTACCCCCGATTACCGTAAAGTAGTCTTCTATAAGTCGACTCCCGGTGCCGATGAGAACAGGAAGAAGGTGTTCGGGTGTCTTAAATGGCTGGAGGATCAGTGGCAGAAGGAATTCTTCTCGAGTTTGCGTCTCTTCAAGAACTTTATTGTCGCCGATTTGTCGGAACTACTGTTCCTCATGAGCGCCGAGTGCTGTAATAACCCGAGACCTAAGCACCTGTGCGTCAATGTACTCAACTCATGCCAATTCAACTACCTGTCCGAACTGTTTTGCGACTTTCATAGGGAACCGAAGGTACCGGCCTGTGCTCTGTCAGCCAGCCTACGTATGGCTTACCTTTTCATCGGCTCATTGTTTGCGTTGCATTTAAAGCCAGAGATTGCCGACACTATTAAAGCCATACCCGGCCGACACGCCCCACCCCTCCGAATGCACGGGTAGTCCACTGTTAGGCTTAATTGTTATGTAAATCCAAAGGCATATGAAGTTTTAAATGGGTTTTGAATTTAAGTTTTACTCAAAAGTTTACAAATGTTTTAGTTATTCATAAATATATTTCTTATTCATCGCAATGTTTATATAAACAAAACTTTTAAATAAATGCATATTTTATCACAAAATTACTAAAAGTGTGTTTAAATTAATACTATTTATAACTAATACTAATTTAACAGTAATTGAACGCATAATGAAAACTTTGATTTAGTTTTTGGATGTTAATAAGCGGACGTCATATATGGATAGCCCACGAGATATGTAAATACAATGCAGTGTTAAATGCCATTCAATTAGTGAATGACTGCTATTGTGAACAACCATTTGATTAGTGGTTGCTATCACTCATTAGATGCACCATTAGATCCGCACCACCGATGAATAGCACCAATATCTGAGTGATTAAGACATTGCACACGAAGTGATAGTGGTATCCACAAAACCAGTGAACCGTTTACATCGACACCGAAGACATCACTCGCGAGTCAACCACCGAAACCCATACCAAAGACACGTCTCACTAGTGAATCCAAACGCCCGAAGGAGACGATGAGTGGACAGCACTGAGTGATCAGACACTGAAGATGTGGACCAATTAGATGGCAGTGCAAGTGTCCGTCCAGTCGTGCCCATCGAGCGCCGCACCGGTATTACACCAATTGAGCCACAATTGTCTGGCGGAGGGCGCCGGCGATGTGCCGATGATGGCCACCACCACCAGCGCGAGCGGCAGCACACCAGTGGACAGTCACCACAACCCGCAGCAGCAGCCGATGCCTGTGCTCCTGCGCGGGTCGATCGCCCGCTCCATATACGAGAGGATGCAGAGGGAGGAACAGCTCCGGTATTTCGACAAATCCAAGTGGTATTCAATCGACAGACAACTCATCACTCGTGAGCTCAACCACACGTTCGCGCCCATGGATTACGACTGCGAGACACAGGAGTTCGTCGACTTGTGTTACCAGAAGTCGGACCAGTACTTCACGCATCTGTTCCACTCGATCGCGCGCACCATTCTCTGCCTATTCATGTCGAGCACATCCGTGAACGGCCTGTTAGGCCGGGGCTCGATGTTTGTGTTCAGCGACAAGCAGTTCCGCGCACTCCTCGGCGACCACCTCCTCATGACTGATAGCAATATGTATTCTTCCAGTTCTGAGCCGCTCATCGATATCATCGGCAGCGACAGCAACGACAGTGTGGACACGAACGCCGGCGCCGACCGCGTGCTCATCGATTTGGGCGCCGGCGACGGGAAGATCACCGAAATTATGTCCAAATACTTCCACAAGACGTACACCACAGAGATATCACCCGTAATGCGCAAAATACTACTGAAAAAGGGGTTCAATGTGTTAGAAGTGGAGGAGTGGTGCCAAACGGGCCTCCAGTACGACGTCATCTCGTGTCTCAATGTGTTGGACAGGTGTGACAAACCGTTGTCGATGTTGGCGCACATGAGGTCCGCGTTGAGGCCTAAGACCGGCCTCATTGTCTTGGCGCTCGTCTTGCCGTTCAGCCAATACGTCGAAGTGAATGACAATCACCGCGCGGATCACCGGCCCAGCGAAGTGCTCGCCATCGATGGCCACACGTTTGAGGAGCAGTTGGTGTCGTTCGTGGCCAATGTGTTGGCGCCCAATGGCCTCCAAGTCGTCAAGTGGTCTAAACTGCCGTACCTTTGCGAGGGCGACCTCGAGCTCACCTACTACTGGCTCTACGACGTGGTACTGGTGCTCAAGGCTGTCGGCGATGACCAGTAGTGGTGAGAGCGCCGGCAGGTTCAGGTCCTCTAATGATTAGTTAGGTCTTAAGAAATTGATTTTGTATTTCAATTGTAATTATATTTTGTTTGTTTGCGTTATGAAACACAAAATATACCACTTTTTAGGCCTTTTTTATTGCAATCAATTGATTGACGGTTTTTCAGACAATTATTTATTTAATGATATATTTATACCCAATTTATAAGTAATTTATTTTTTATTATTGATATGTTTTTTGCGATTATTATTATTATTATTATTATTATTATTATTATTGTATTTAATTTAATTATTATTAGTTTGTATCCCAAGTATAGCCCGTAATTTGGTTTATAATTTATATATTGAATGATAATTATAATGAAAATCAAATAAATGATGATA